AAAAACTCACTCATGATCTAGTGTGGATGCGTGACCGAGCACATTCATCTAGATCTTGTCCAATAAAACTATGGAGGTCTTCGTTATTGTTGAAGACTTACAAAACTATTCATTCTGGAGATTGTTAAGCTCACACAAAGGCCACTGTAAGCATTTTTGCAGTTGAAATCAGTAGTTTGTAGGAAGCCTTTCTGTGGGGGGATTGTAATAACAATTTTTACTGATGTTTTAGAAAGAAGTTTCGTTGTTTGCCTGATTTTAATAGATACCTAGGTGGTTATGTTAGGTATTACTCCTAGGTCGCATTATCTGATGTTCACCAAAAAGAGAAATACGTAAATGCGGAAATTAACTGGTGGTGCTTATTTACTGTGACGATGAACGTTGGAACGACTAGCTTGGTCCATTCGAACAACGTCATCATGAGCATTAAATTGCTAGACGCTAAATTATCGAAAGCAACAGCATAAGCATATTAAAATTTTTTTTGAAATATTACATATAGTAAAAAGAAAAATCGAAGTAATATAAAATGTTAAGTAGTGCCTTACGTGCGATAATCGTTTAAATGTTCGGGAAATCTTACTCTTCTTCCAGAACGCGTTATTTTAAGTTTATTTTCAGAAACTGTCGAAGTATCATTGTGTATGTTGCCTGTCTCTGGGGTATTATAAGCGTAGGAGTCGTGTTGTGCGATTGTAGCGAAGGGAAATCGACGTGAATAGGATTTCCTTCTAAACACGCTGCTTTTAAGCGATCTATGCTGATGCTATCGTTTGGTCCGTTCTTATCGATTATATAGTACTTAGATTCACGTTGAAGAACTTTGAAAGGTCGTTCGTATGCTGATTCGAATGGTCGTCGATTCGAGTCTCGATGTACGAAGACGTGTGAACTATATCGTAAGTCAGGTTGAATGAAAACATCAGTTGATTTCGGCCGAGTGGAAACAGGTTTAACTGAACGCATTGAGTTTGTAAGCCTGTTCTTGTAGGAGGTTAGATCCATGTTCATTGAAGAGGACGAAGGATCCAGAAATTCTCCTGGAAGTCGAAGTGTCATTCCATAAACGAGTTGAGCCGCAGTGTATCCAATGTCAGCTTTCACTGCATTGCGGATACCTAGTAAGACAAGTGAAAGAGCGTCGGTCCACTGTGAAACTTTTGTAGCTGATAGCGAAGCTTTTAGTTGCCGGTGAAAACGTTCTACCAGCCCGTTTACTTGTGAGTGGTAGGCAGTCGTTCGGAAGCGAGTGGTTCCTAAAAGTGTGGTCAGACAACGGAAAAGTTCGGATTCAAACTGACGTCCGCGGTCTGTAGTGATGGTTGAAGGGCATCCGAAGTTTGCTACCTATCAATCGACGAAGGATCGGGCCACTGTTTCAGCAGTAATGTCTTTGATAGGCACTGCTTCTGGCCATCGAGTGAAACGGTCTACGCAGGCTAAGAGGTAAGAGTATCCATTTGAATCTGGTAAAGGTCCTACCAAATCCAGATGAACATGGTAGAAACGAGCACCGGGAGTTTTAAATGAGCCTAAGGGACATTAATTGTGTCTGATAACCTTAGATTTTTGGCAGCTTACACAGGAGCGTGCCCACTCCCTCACGTCTTTATTCATGCCAGGCCAGCGAAACCGTTCTGCTATAAGCTTGACGGTTGCACGAACACCTGGATGCGAAAGTTTGTGTAACGTATTGAAGACGTTGTGTGGATAACGTTTCGGCGCGATTGGGCGATCCCCACCTGTAGATGTGTCACACAGTAAGTTTTCCCTACCTGTTGCCATCTCTTTGATGCGTAGTTTGAGGGTTGTAGACGATAACTCGTGATGAAGATCAGTGTCTTCCTTTTGAAGCTGGGCAAGTTTAAGAAGGTCAATTCCTTGGAAACTGTTCAAGGAAGTTATGCGAGACAAAGCGTCTGCAACTACATTGTTTACTCCAGAAATGTGTTGAATGTCTGAAGTAAACTGCGAAATGTAGTCCAGTTGTCGAGACTCACGAGGTGAGTACTTGTCTGAAGAGGAGCTTAAGGAGAAAGTAAGAAGTTTGTGGTCAGTGAAAACGGTGAATTCACGGCCTTCGGTATAGTGTTGGAAATGCCGTACAGCACAATACATAGCTAGAAGTTTCCTACCGAATGTGCTGTACCTCGATTCCGTGTCTAGCAACCGTCTAGAGAAGAATGCCAAAGGTTTCCATTGTTGTAAGACTCCTTCGATTGCTGAGTCAGATGCGTCTACTGCGATGCTAGTGGGTGCTTCGGTGTCCTGATGTGCAAGCACTGTTGCTTTAGCGATAAGTTCCTTAATTGTGGAGAATGCGTTTCATGCGGTGTCGTCCAAATTAATGGATTTCGCATTTCCACGAAGTTGGTCGCTTAGCGGTTTCATGAACAAAGCGCATTTAGATATGAATCGTCTATAGAAACTTACAAGGCCGTTAAACGTTCGTAACTGCTTGACGGTGGTCGGTTCTGGGTAATCCAGAATGGCCGCCACTTTGGTTCTAAGGGGTCGGATACCTTGAGCATCGATAGTGTGTCCTAGGAAGTCTAATGAGTCAGCTCCAAATCGGCATTTCTGAACGTTTACAGTAATGCCACGTTTTTGTAGTCGGTCGAAAACAAGATCCATCTGCTGGAGATGCGATTCTCTGTCCGGACTTGCGATTAGGCAGTCGTCAACATACGCATGTACGAAGTTGAGACCTCGGAAAACGTCGTCTATGAATCTTTGGAAGGTTTGTGTAGCGTTTCTTAGACCGAAAGGCATTAGCAAAAATTCATAGAGTCCGAGGAGAGTAATGATGGCGGTTTTAGGTATGTCGTCTGTGGCCATGGGGATTTGGTTATACGCTTTAACTAAGTCGATTTTCGAAAAGACAGTTGTACCTTTCAAGGTAGCTGTCAAATCGTGAATGTGAGGCAACGGGTAACGATCGGGAGTGGTTTTCGCATTCAATCGCCGGTAGTCACCAGTTAGACGCCAGTCGTTGAGTTGGGAAAATTGCAGGGTTTTCTGCAATTTCTGGAAGACTTTCCATACTGGTTATGATACCAGCACCAGTCGGGATTATCTGTCTCTTTTGGTCTAGAGACAGATCGCTTACGTGATGTGCTTCTACGTGTGGTGTGTGAACGCTTACGGTCTTTACGAAAATTAAGATAACGCGTAAGTGTATGACATAACTCGGTTATGTAATTTTGAGTCGTTTGAGGCTTTTCTTTGACTGAAAAACCTCGGTATTAGAAGATCTCGTAATTTCTAAGATACGATCGGCGGATGTAACCAGCTCGTCTAAGGTTTTGTTCTGAAACGAGACCAGAACCGCTTGCACCTGCTGGGGAAGTTTAGACAAGAAAAGTTGTTTGAATAGACCTTCGTCGAAAGTTCTTGGGCCTATAACCTCTCTCATCCTTTGCAACATGTCCGTCGCGGAAAGGTGCTGCAGGTCTATGTTATTAAAGAGTTGATCGAACCTTTGTCGATCGGTTAGGTCTCCTCGTTTAAGAATCGAACGTTTTAAGGTTTCGTAAGGTTCAGAAACATCACTAGTAAACATACTAGGTGTTACATACCTGTTGAATTCGCGCGGTAGTGCCTTCACTGCTGCGAAGAATTGTGCGCGTGTGTCGTTCACGACGTGTTCGTGGAAGTCGGCTTCTGCGTAGCAAAACCAGGCTTTGATATTGTCCCGCCAGAAGAGCATGAGTTGGAACGAGGGTGGGGACAAACTCTTAAGCTTAAATACTTTAGGTGTCTGTTCAGTCATGATGAAATATGAAGTACGATATTGAACGAGGGAAAAAATATATATCCAAAAAGCACGAAAAAAGATATCCCAATGTATAAAAAATTAAGATAAGGCAATAATATATAGAATCCCAAAATGGAACAGACTCACAGTTTTCGATTTGGTGTACCAGATCACGTTAGGCTCACCAATAAAGATGGCACAGGTATTCAATGTTTGACAACGCCTTTAACAGTAACACCCTCTAACATAACTCGTACCCACCAAGAGAAATCAAAAGACAGAATCGAGGAGATCAGAAGTTGTATTTGACGATTGCCAATATATCGGAATTGTTTGATCTAGTCTGACTAGCTATTGCAGTAGATGTTGAGCACGGCGTTCCCACACATGATCTGGTGTGGATGCATGGCCGAGCGCCTTCAGCTAGGTGAGTCCGCTAAAACTAATCTGGTCAGCATTCAACGTCGAAAACTTACAGAGCTATTTATTTTGGGGATTTATTTACCGCTACAATGCCTTTCGAGCAAACCTTGCACTAGTAACATTGAAGCGCATTTTTGGCCAGTTTGACGGTAGAAATTTCCATATAATCTTTAACAGTTTTATCCATTCCTATTTAGAGTACGGAAACATAATATTTCCTCCCTCACTTCAAAAGGATAAGGACACTCTAGAGGGTATCCAATGGCGAGCCACGAAATCAACCCAAGGACTTAAGTTTAAACCTTATGAAGAGCGTCTCCAATCACTTTACCTTTACCCATTAGAATGTAGGCGTCTTAGAGGTGACCTTCTGATGGCTTACAGTACCCTTAACACTTCTGAACATCCTCGTAAACACCTACTTAAACTTAGCCTCGATATCAACATAAGGGGTAACACCCAGAAATCGGAGACACAACATAGCAGAATGGACTCTAGACACAACTTCTACTCCTAAAGAGTTGTCAAATGCAGGAACTCGCTGCCGGCCGAGCTAGTCCAAGCGACTTCTCAGGAGTCCTTTAAGAGGCAAATTGATCTATTCTTAAGGTCTAAGGATAGTATCATACTATGATTTACCAATTTCTTTTTCCTCTTTTATGTTTAACATACCTAGGTCCCTGTCTGGAGGTGTTCGTGATCCCCTGCTACTAGACACCGAAGCCTGTTAAGCGAAGGCTTCTTCTATTCTGTCCACAGCCATTTGAACCATTTGAAGTTTGAATGATTATATACTATTGAAGGTCATTGCTTTCTCATGGCAAGTACCGTTCCGTAATACAGTAAATTTACTAGGAATGGTCTGAAAATTCTATACTTAAGGCTTTTCAGAACAAAATTTTGTATCGTCCACTAGCTGGCCAGTCCAAGTCAAAAGATTCTACGCTGAATTTTTGGGTGTTAATAGCTTCCATTTTTGACCGTCAGGTCGATGCATAACTCAAAACTCATTATTAAAATGTTGTCTAACGTTTTTATTCTGTTGTAAATTTCATATGGGATACTAAGAAGGATTAGGTGTAGGGAATGTATGTGGATAATAATAAATGATGTATATAATCTTTTCTATCACTGATTTTCAGGTTTGTGTTTTGAGGACAAAAACCGTACGACGTGCGTTAGTCCGTTTCCAGTAAGCTCCTAAGTGCCTAGTTTTTTCTTGAGTGAGTTAGGTGAAGGGGCGGACACCATTTCTTCGGGTAACAGGTTCCAAGAATAGATGAATCGGTGCGAAAACCTTTGTCTCAGTTCGCTCTTGGCTTTTGTACTCGCTTGGTATGTCCTCTGAGTTGTCTTGATCTGCTAGGAAAAAGAAGATATATCAGGTCTGAAATCATTACCTATTATCCTGTACATCTGCGGTAGTACAGAGTTAAGAGGTCTAGTTTCTCAAGGCTTTCTTTGTATGATGGACCGGGGAATTCAATAATTACATATTTAGTTGCCCCGTGCAATTTTTCCAAGATACCCGTACCACCTTTAAAACAGGAGTTTGTAGCCTGAACACAGTTTCCAAGTTTGGATCTCACTAATGTTATGTATACTGTAGTGAACATATAAGTATCTAACTTGGTAAATGTTCGATACGGACTCGACTCTGTACATATTTGCCTTTATATCTCCAATGTTCATGTGCACACTTGACCGCGTTGATAAGCGTCAGGCATTTTTAGACCAGGTAATTAGAGCATCTAAGTCCTGGAGTGCACGTGCATCTGCGTCTCCTTTTATTTCTCGTCAGATCTTTGTATCAGCGTGTGGTAGCATTGAGGACTCGACTATACTTGGAAGTCCATGTAAATAAAGTATACAATGCAAAGTACCTAGAACAGTCTCACGTTACTCCACTAATTACTGTTTCCCAAGAGGAGCATTTAGAATTTATCCGTACTTTTTGTCCACAGCCTTTTAGTGGAGTTCAGAAGAACGATGAAAGCTCCACGACCAAACCATCCAGCTCAGAGAACAAAATTCCACCAAAATCATCCACCTGAGCTACAAATCTTCACCATGTCCACAGCCTACCAAACATACCTGATCTACTCTAGGATAGGTCCTGCAGTTCTTAGATTTCCCAGCATCATGAGTGGTCTCGCAAAGTAATGACATTTGGTATGTTGTCTAAGCTACTTCTACAACCTTGTCCAAGTAGCAAATTATATCATTTCTCAATAATTTTCTATCTCAGTCATTATATTGTGTGTAATGTCCCCATTGGGAAACTTGACCTTAGTATTAAAGGTTAAATCCCCCTTTTGACCACTTCGCATCATCCCATACCATTTATCGATCTGGATCACACTCTTATTTTTTAAAACCCCAGAACTCGTTCATATAAGATTGAAGTTAGACATTAACACCGTTGGATGCCGGCTCAGTGGTCTAGTGGTTAAGGGCCCGCTCGCGAGACATGGGCCCCGGGCTCGAGTCTTGCAAGGCGAGGTCGTGGGTGCGCACTGCCGAGAAGTCCCAGGAGAGGACGAAACGTCCGTCCAGTGATTTCAAGTTTTCCTTGGTGGTCTACAATTGATTCACAATCTCAACTATTGTGATTACTATAATATTCATAAAAACCCCGTCTGATATAGATCCTTAATCGTAACGGAAACGTAAATCATTGGATTTAAAGCGTGTTTTAAATGTATTTTCCTCGCTCCGAGACTTGAAAGTGTTGTGCATTTTCGAGGAGTCCATAACTATGATGAAACAACTATTCGGTGATTCCTGCCCATAATACTTCGCTAACATACCACATATGTTAACAAGCAGTTTTGTTCATCATAGGTTGATCAAACCAGTAAAACAGACTACTTGCTGTTGTAGATTAAAGGAGCCTAGAAGTGTGTGATGGTTTTATACTCTTCTTTCAAATGTCTTGTTCTTTCCGTTTATAAGTTATTGTCCAAGCCTAAATCGGTTGTACAACGTGTGTGAGCAAAGAGCACAACTTCCGGCTATTCTATCTAGATTTTGATTCTACCCTTCCGTTTACCTAATGAAACATTACTCCTAGCCTTTCACTAAGGACGTCAAACTCCCTCGAAATCCCACTTCACTCGCAAAAAGAGTATCGCTATAAGCCGAGTACATATCTGCTTACTCTGCTTTTATATGTATCTTTTTCCAGATTTCTACATTTCTTCTTAGTCTTACGTTACTTGTTTAGCTGTTTCAAGTAGAAGTTCTTGTCCTACCAATTAAAATGAATGAAATATCTAGTCTTAGTTCCTTGCATAAAGTTCGGTACTTGTGTTTAATAACAAGACATAAGGAATTAATCAAGGTTAGGACAATTTATTATTGATGAATCTCATGCTAGGTTTAACTCAGTGATTCTGTTTTTTTTTAAAAAATCTCCATCTAAACTCTTACACGTCCTTAATCTTTGTGTACTTATTTGTAGCATGATTTGTAACCTAGCAAAATATGAAAGTACTTTATTTTAATTGTAACTAGAGCTTTTAACGTAACTGACATTGTATAGTTTTCTGGTTATTTTCAGGCACTAAAACCCTATTTAAATGCAGTTAGGCACACTCTAAATGCAGCATTATGTGTTCAGAATTTTTCTTCACAAGTTGTTGAACGTCACAACAAACCTGAAATAGAAGTTCGAACCTCCAAGGAACTACTACTAAACCCCGTAATTATTAGTCGGAATGAAAAAGAGCGGGTACTGATTGAAGGGTCAATTAATTCAGTTCGTGTCAGCATTGCTATCAAACAGTCTGATGAAATCGAAAAGCTACTTTGTCGAAAATTCACTCGGTTTATGATGACTCGTGCAGAAGACTTTGTTATACTTAGGCGTAAACCTGTCCCTGTAAGTTCATATCTCTGATCGTTTAAAGTTAACTTTGGAACCTCATTTCCTATTTTTGCTGCAGCAAAACTACAAATTTGATTCCTTTTTAATATTTGCTTGTTATTTGTACACAGTTCAGAAAAAGCCCTGATAGTTGACTAGGAATTCCCACCCTGATTTTCTATCATGCGATAGTTTATTAATCCTATTCGAACTGTCTGGATCACCGAGAAGAATTTCTCATTGCGAAAAGAGAGTTCACAATATTTACTCCCTTGGTTTTCTGTTAGTTTATTAGCTTCTGATTGTTATTTCCTTAACCCTAGCCAAGGTACGTACACCTTTAGTCACACCTGTATTGTGAGAACAGTCCAGAGTCCCTATGTAACTTAACTACACTGAGACATTCTTCCAACATTTTTTGCTTACTGGTTCTAGCGCAAATGTTCCTTTGATTAGAAATCGTAGAATATATTTCTTTTCCACATATGTATGTGCTTACTGTTAGAGTGTGATTGATATCCGTTCACTCGACCATGTAATATCGTTTAGTTAATTACCGCTAGTTCAGATTTACGTTCATGTTCATCAACAGATCTGGTTCTATACAAGTAACTAGAATGCAATATTGATCATTTCACTATGGAATAATAAACTGACTAAAATATATTTTGAATACGTCAGTACAGCTTCAGATTTTCATGTTTTAGGTAGTACATATATTAATCAACTTGAAAGACTTCAGTGTATTGACTTCATGTCCCGTGTCAAGAAGATGTCTTGCGATGGCACTGCTGAATGCTTTTAATCCATTTAATCTTGAACTTTTCGGAATATATTCTTTGGATCGGACGTAGGCTCTCCTTCCTGTTCTACTAATATAACTGATTTGGGAGATACATGTAGATTTGTATACACATTTGGGGCCCCCAACCAAGGGGCTGTGATAAACCAATAAATGGCAGTCTTATACAACTTACTTTCATATCACGGGTCTGCTTAGCTTCGATCAGTTTGTAATTATTTTTTGTCATTTGTTTATCTAATTAATTCTTCTGATAGTAGTGTTGCCTTTTATATTTCACGACCTCATTTTTTACATTTATCCTTAGTTGTTTCTACCCATAAATCCCATCTTATTTGTGTTATGTTACACATAATCGAATACAGATTAATATGTATGTTAGTTTGGTTAACTACTGTTCATTAGCAAGGTCTCAGAAAATATATAAAATCGTGACAAACTAATCAGTTATGAATAGAAAGGGTAAAGTTCACAAATGGTAGTTTTAAATAGTTGTATTTTAATATTATCAATGTCTGGTATCTAGTTTTTGACTACATTTCATTCATTTTATCAGTTGTTAGAAATATTCGATCAAATTTAGACGAGACATTTTATAAATATTAATTTTTTTGTCTTAGTTTTGGAACGGTCAGTAGCTCATTGCTTGTTATCCATATCAAAAAACTTACGTTGTCGAAACTTCGTTTAACTGTTTTGCTAGTTATCGATTAACTTTTTAGCTTAGGGATCCTTTGAAATATCTGTCTGATTGAACTATAATTCGTAATGGATGTTCTGTCTCCTGGGGTTGTTTGCAAGACTTTTTAAAATTTCATTTTTGCAAGCTAGGGCTGGTAATTGCAACACATTCGAGTAAATTAATTCCTCCGTAGAAATGTACTTCCTCATTTTGATGATGATTCAAGGCAATAATGGACCTAATTTAGAGAACATCAGAAATCTTAAACCAAATTTCACAGAAAGCTGTAAATAACGTACAGAAGATAGATATTCAACGATGCTAAAGATCACCATTATTTCAAACGAACAAGTCCAACATTAGGATTGATACCTGCGAAGTTAAAGATTTATAGTTATTTACAGGTTTGTTGTATTTCTCCTGTTTTATTCGTGTCACTCCCTGGAGGAAATAAAACTAATGATGGAAGAGTTCAATAACCTTGATGTTATTTTGAAAGCTTTTCCTGAGAAATTGTCAAAAGGTTGTATGATATATTGTTTTTCTCTGAGTCAAACCCATTTTTTCATACTATCCTTTGGTTAATATATTTTAAAGTACTTTAAAGCTTTGTGTTAATTTAACTTATGATTCCTTTGATTTTAGGGTGCATAAAATGCATTTGTTGTAGAAGTGTTAATATAATTCCTATGTAAAGATGTCCATTGCATATCTCGTAGAGCATAGATTAATTGAAATAAATGGTCCATTCGTTAGTATTTTTAGCTTACGATGTAACTTTTGTTAATATAAACTAATTTTTTTTCCGTTGGACTTTTCGATAATCCTTTTTTTATGTTATCTACATTCCCATCAATGTATTACTTTGAATCTGTTGTAGATTTGCTTTTTGTATGACTTAATTATTTTTTGGTGTAAGTTGGAGACGTCAAGTTTCTTTGATTATTGATATCGTTCGAAATTTTACCACACCAAGGTGTTGTTAGAAATACTTTCTCGTCCTATAAATTTCACTCATTCACATCTCAATCATTCAGATTAACGACATGTAATACATAGTTAAAATTCTATTTTCTCGTAAAGATATTTGTTCGTCTAACCTTCTGCGGTCCCGTTTTCTTAATCAAAATCCTAACATTTTTCTTTTTATGTTCCTTTCTCTATAGGGCTATGACATCAGTTTTCTTATCACTAATTTTCACACGGAACAGATGTCAAAGGCAAAATTGGTTGATTTCGTAATTACTTTCATGGATGAGATTGATAAAGAAATTTCCGAAATGCGCTTAGCAGTGAATTCTCGGGCTCGTCAATGTGCTGAAGAATTTTTGAAGGCGTTTGACTAACAGATATGTGAAGTAAATAGTAATTTCGCTTAATATTGTGGTAATTCAAAGTAATTTTAACGACTCTTTTGAAACAGTTTTTTCTATAATTTTGTCTTTCAATTAACGTTGACTTGTAAAAGTAAAATGTTTTTATGTTAAAGTTTCAGTTTTATATATCCTACATCAAGGTTTGATTAAAAAATCCAAATCTTAAAATTATTTGTAATCTAAATTAGTTTAGAGGGAGCATGACTGGAAATTAATGTCTTTCATATTAACAAAATCAGACAAAACTCACACTTCATTATCTTATGTTACTGTTTCACTCTTAGTTTTATCAAACTTAATATTATGTTATCAAGTTAATCACTAAAACTAATAAAAATATATAAATACTCACTTATTGAGACAAATTATGGCAATTTGTAGAGACTTGGTCCAATCTGCCTACTTTAAAATGAAAATTCTTGAGATTCACTAAGAAAATATAATACTACACCTTTGTTGTTTGCTAGTTATTTGTAGTTCTATTTTCTAAGTTGACACAGTTCATACTTATCGTTTGATAATAGTCACGTAATGAGACTTTCGACAGTGAGTATTTTTGAGATCATTTGTTGTCAATCTCTCTACTTATGCTCATCCTGTTATTGGGACTTTAGTCAATCACGTAGTGTTCTAAAACACCTTAATTTTTCCGGAGCTGGCATTCATGATAATAAAGAGGAATAAAGAGAAATTCCAGTTTCGAATGATCCTTCAATAAGTAAATCTATATTCATTAGTGAAACACAATCTTTCGGTTTTAGTGTTTATCTCTCATCCCTAGTCATATGCGTAAATAATTGATTATTTATTGAAACAAGTATTGCTACATATAGGCAGTAAAATAAGTGTCCGCTGCATAATAGGAAAATAAAACTGTTAGGATACTGAGGAAGGAGGGGTGGATACGATCTAAAACAATAACTGAATAAAAATAAGTAAACAAGAGTAGTATATGAAAAAAGTACAAATAAAAAGTCCTTCCATCTAAAGAAGCTTCATTTCTATGGAGAAATTTGTGAAAGGACGCTTTCTGGCTTCTACTGCGACCTATGTCTAGTAACGCCTCAAATACTATCTCACCCTAACCAAGTAATCGTGGCGGACATAGTGTTGCCATTAGGTGTCAGGAATCTTTGGGGGACAATGATGATCAGACACAGAAAGCCGCTGAACATCCCTAACTCGGAAAGCACCGGTTTCTCAAGTATAGAGCAGAACCGGTCTTACCGACATATTATGAACCCTATCTTTTACAGTCAGGCTAACATCGATACGACACCAAAGATGGCTCTGATTACCACAGACCATTTCGAACTTTGCCTAAACGGGTACCACTACCACTGTGACCTATGCTACTTATGATGACGTATTTAAGTAGTATGTTTCAGCGATTGAAAGTAGAATACCTGCCAGCCGAAGATTGAAATACAGAGAACAGAATATTGGAGAATATAAAGGACAACGCAAAGATGTGCAAGAAATCTATTTAATGTTTAGTTTCCATATTTTATCAAGCCACTATGTGGTTTTGCATTGAACAATAAATTGGTTTTCTTCACTTGAGTTCTCTTACACTGCACCAGCACTCCCACAAATAACCAGATACGCGAATTTTCCGACTACTGGCGACCCAACACAAATAGTGGTTGTAGGCGTAGGTTCCCGCCAGTTCTGAAAAAGTACCTCGTACTTGAAAAGTGCATTCTATACCTACGGACGTTTATTCCTGACTGACTAAGTGTTGATTGCACAGCTTGATCATCATCACGCAGTAAGACAATACCATTCGTTTACTGAAGATGGAAAACTTTATCCAGGACCACTACCTATTTCCATTAGAGTAGTTTGTAGAATGTTATCGATGTCAATGTTGAGGAGGAATAGTGAGTAACCTGCTTCCAGTTCCTCACTACCCATACAAATGATATTTGCTACTGTTGTATGGTGTTCATTCAAAGTATTTCTCGAGAACCAAAGAAAATATTGTTAAGGAATGAGCCTTGATTTTCATGGATATAGTCTGCTTGTGTTTATACTTATGACGTTTGTAATAAGTAGTTTTCTTTGTGATTAAGGAATAATATCTTGCATTACACTTCAATAAATTAACTCTCCTGATTCATCTTATCTTCACCATGCGTATGTGACCCATACAAATTGGTAATTGACGATTATTCTCTACAATTAATTATGACTTTCATAGCATCATTCTAAACTACTGCAGAAAGTTATTCCACTGTCAAATCTTACTGCATTAACGATTTACTTTCTTATTTGTCTATTTATTTTTATTCATTTTTTAACACATATATTACCGTTTATTCTTATTCTGTTTTCACAAACATGCTTATCAAATTTTTCACATATTTCACGTTTCTTTTCATTTTTTTCCCTTCCTTTTAAAGTTAACTCAACATTCTAGATTTTACAGAACCTATTTAAATGTGGTGAATATTATGGGAACACTATTGAAACTTGTGTATAACTTCATCTCTGAAGAAACCCAAAATGGTTTCTTCACAACACTCATGTACAAATAAGCTGTCTGTGAATAACAATACATTTTTTTCAAAGGATCATTGTCAGAATTCAAATAATGTCATTTATAATCGATGTGATTTTACTGTTTGCAATTAGATTATTTCGTAGTAATTTTCCTATAGAAGTTCTCACGTTTGAACTAGTGGACATCGGTTTTGTTTTAGATGCTTTTTATACTTTGAAATCTTGATCCTCATGAGTAAGTAGTTCACGAGTCTCAGACAGTCTGAGGAGTATGATGGGAGCCATCACCTTGTGTATGATTGAAGTCGACATTCACTAATAGTAATTGTATAAATGACATAAAACCTTTCCAAACATTCAAATGATTCTGAATGGGATAGAAGAAGCTTTCGCTTAGCAGGCTTCCGTATCTAATAGCAGTGAATCACTGACGCCTCCAGGTGGGCATATTTTACGTTAAAAAGGAAAAAGTTGGTAAATTATAGTGAGATACTGTCCTTAAGGATATGTCAGATTTTCTCGAAGGACGGGGAAGTCTCTTGAGCTAGTTCAACCGGCAGCGAATTCCAGAATTCGACTACTTTTAAGGAGTAGAAAGTGTGCCTACAGTCCGTTCTGCTGTGCTGTGTCTTCAGTTTCTGTGTGTTACCCCTAAGTTTTGTGTTGAAACTAAGCTTAAGTAAGTGTTTAAAAGTATGTTCAGAAGTGTTTATTATACTGTAAGTCATTAGGTCACTTCTAAGACGCTTGTACTCTAGTGGGTAACAGTTCAATGACTGGAGGCGCTCTTCATAAGACTAGAATCTGAGTCCCCGAACTGATTTCGTGGCTTCCCGTTAAAAACTTTCCAGTGTCCTTATATTTTTGGAGTGAGGGAGGAGACAATATGTTTCCATACTCTTAATGGGGGAGAATAAAACGTGAAGATTAGGTGGCAGGTTCCGTCGAACTGATCAAGAACGAACTATTTCCTTGAGTTATGTCCCAAATTTTAAGTTTTTCTGCCAGGATTTTTTAGTTGTTAAATTTCCCATAAATGTACATGTTGACCTAGCTTATACATGCACTGTATTATATCATCTCTATACCATTTGGATTTAGCACGTATCTGAACCACCTTTAACATTTTGAACTTTATAACTCTTATGACTGAACGCTTGATTCGAATTTCTAACCCCCTCTAGTAACCCTCAGGCTAAATGCACACGACATCGTGAACGCGAGAGAAAAGGTGCGGAATATGGAAAGGATGCTTTACTCCAAAGCTCATTTATGTACAGAAATTCGGGGGTATTTACAGCTTTTCTGATGACCTTGGGCTTCTGGAACCCTTCTAGATATAGTGGCAGGATAGTTATCCAGTCCGAAATGTAACCCTTGACTTCAATTTCTAGATGTATCTTGTAAACATCTATTCAATGCTAATAGGATAAAATGTTTTCTAGCGTTTTCAGGGTCCATTTGGACTTTTCAAGAAATTTTCTGAGTCACACAAACACCACTAATCTCATGTTGGTGTTTATTGCTATGCGTATTTGGGTGAATAGTTCTGTTACATTAGTTGCCTAAAAATACGCTTAATATAATTAACATAAAGTCACCTCATTAAGATACTATCGTGCTGCACTGGTATAATGACTAAACAATCACATGGTTGTTAGTCAGGCAAGCTTTGGGAATAAAATATCTAAAGCCTATTATTAAAGTTGACACTAAGTAAACTGATATTTCTGGGTCGCTATTTGTACTATAATAAGGCAGCTCGGATCTGTTAGTTCTACAAACTTCTATTATTTTCGAATCACGTAAAACAATACCTATTTCCTCAATCAACATTATAACTAGTTATACACAATGGCTTGTAGTGACTCACATTTATCACGAGAACACGACTGGTTTAATAAAAACAATTATTATTATAATCAACTGTACCAGTGTTTGTTTTAATGCGCTTTTGTTTAACTGTGCTAAGAAGCATCCATTATTCACACACTTTGTGACTTCGCGCGAATTTGGTTACGTTCTGTAACCAAGCTTGTACCCTTGCACGATCTCGGTATCCTTTCGATACCACGAGATCGCCAGCAAATATATCGACTTGGACATGAGGTGAGAGTTGTACTCCCCTTGGTTACAACTTATGTTATCCCTGATAATCACATGAGCATGACTTCCTGTTTATCATTTTGTAAAGATTTATTTGGCGGGAAGCGTCGTACAACATGTCACCCATATTTGTGTCAAATAAGCTTTGTCAATTCCAGTTCACTCTTGTTCAAATCATCCGATTTCTACCTTGTGCCAAACTCGATTCTTACAGCTGATTTGTATGCACCATCAGCCTGTAAATATGCATACAAATAATTGGTTTATTGTACATCAAAATATTTAGTCTGGAGCATGTCTGTCATGGACGCACTCACATTGAACAAATTAGTGTTATCCATCTATCCGAAATCCACATA